CCCCTGGGGGCAGGACACCTGGGTCCAGGGGAGGGAAGAGGGACCGCTGACCCTTCTCCTCCCTCCCCACAGACCCCCCGCAGCTGTTGGGACCCTCCTGCTCCTGGGAGGACGGGGGTCTGCACTGCAGCTGCTCCTCCCGAGCCCAGCCGGCCCCCTCCCTGCGCTGGCGGCTGGGGGAGGGGCTGCTGGAGGGGACCTTCAGCAACACCTCCTTCGAAGTCACCTCCAGCTCTGCTGGGTCCTGGGCCAATAGCTCCCTGAGGCTCACTGAGGGGCTCAGCTCCGGCCTCAGCCTCAGCTGTGAAGCCCTGAACGTCCACGGGGTTAAGAGCGCCACGGTCCTGCTGCTACCAGGTCAGGGGGCTGGTTGGGGGCAGAGGCTTAGGGGGAAATGAGGATCCCAGAAGATGAAGTTTGAGTGGGAGGGGCCTGGACAGAAGGTGTTTGCTAGGACGAGGTGCTCCATCTTGTGCCTGAAGAGGCTCTCCAGCCAGTTCTGCAAGGAGGTGGGGAGGCAATGGACTGAACCTTGGGAGTGAGGGCGTCTTGCACACCTCTTCTCTGCAGGAAAATCAACATCCCTGACAGGAGTGGCTCTTGGGGCTCTTGGAGGCGCTGGTGCCATGGCCCTGCTGTCCCTATGTCTGTGCCTTGTCTACTTTTGCATGTAAGCCTTTGTCCTTGGGGGAGGTGCAGGGAAGTGTGTGGTAGGGAGTCCAGAGTGAGGTCACTTAACTCAGAAATGCAGAGCTGAGTAGACTAGATCCAGAGGGGGTCTTTTTTCAGGGGGTGGGCTGGGTAACATCTTTGTTGAGATATAATTCCCATACACTTAAGGTGTATGATTCATTGGCATTAGTATTTTCGCAGAGTTGTGTGTCCATCAGCATAATCAATGGTAGAACTTTTTCACTAGCTCGACATGAAAAAGAAACCAAAAGGAAACCCATACCCCTTGTCATGCCGTCAGCTCCACACCCTACCCGAGGCAACCACTATTCTATTTTCTGTCTCTCCAAGAGTTGCTTATTCTGGACAGCTCCTGTAAGTGGAATCAGAAAATATGGAAACAAACAAACAAACAAAAAAGGAATAAAGAAAAAACAAAAGAAGGAAAAAAGAAAAAAAAGAAAATATGTGGTCTCTGGTGACTGCCTTCTTTCACTGAACGTGATGTTTTCAAGGTTCATGCTAGTGTGGCATGTGTCAGTCCTTCCTTTTTATTTCCAAATAATGTTCTATTGTATGAATGGAGCACATTTCACTCATCTGTTCATCCATTGATGGACATTTTGGGTTGTTTCTACTACCTGCTATGATCACTCACGTACAAATTTTTGTGTGTAAGAAGGGTCTTTAGCGATGGAAATTCAGTCTTAGCCAAACCCCTGGTCATCTGGGAGGACGGCACACTCAGTGGCCTGTCAGGAAGGTCTCCGCATCCAGTGCCATGGTCTGGGTGCCTCAGTAGGAAGGAGCCTACCCACCTTCGCCTGAGACATCCTGGCTGCAGTATGTTGGTTTCTTCTCTTAGAGTGAAAGCTGGCAGGAAGCAGGCAGCCAGGAGCCCAGAGAGCCCAGATGAAGACCCCATCATGGGTACCGTTGGCTGGGTGAGTGATGTGGGTGTCTTCTCACGCAGTGGGGGGCCCTGGGCATGTCCACACAGCGGATCCTGACTGAGCTCCTCAGCATTTCCCCCAAACCTGCTCCTCTGTTCCCCTGGGCAGAGATACCTGGGAGCTGGCTTCCCTCTGTTCTTCACCTTTATCTTCCAGACCCAGTGGCCGTCTGCTCACCCTCCTGCCTCCTCACTGCTGAGCTGACCTCACTGCTTTGCCATATATAGGCTGCCATAACTGTCTCTTCAAAACCACTACTTTCCAGCCACTCTGGAGTCTCAAAGCTGTTGTTTGCTCCCATTGCTTTGAGAATCAAGTCACACTACTTGGTCTGATATTTGAAGTCTTTCCTAAGGTCTTCCCTGATGGCTGCTCTAGCCACTGGTCCTGCCCTAGGGTCCAGCCACACTGGCCTTCTTGCTCTCTCCATACTGGTCTACTCCCTATGACTCAGCTTTTGAATGCACAGTTCCTCTGACCTGAAATGCCCTCCCTTCCCCATTTCTGCCAGACCACCTCTCCTCCTCCTTTCAGCTCCAATATCAGCATCTCCGGCTCTGGAAGACCTTTGTCAATGTCCATCCCTCCCTTCTCTACATCCCCAGAACTCTGTGTCCACCCCTGTCCTGAGGGGCACACCACACAACATCACTGCATTTACCTGTCTCCACTTTCTTGTCATATTTGTAGTCTTTGAGGGCAGGAGCTGTAATTTTCTCTCACTCCGTCCCTGTCCAACATGACCCTTCTCCCCTTTTATAAAACTGGACCTGTGCTGGACTGAATGGAATTGTTCAAAATGCTTTGTTCGTGACCAAACTATTATCACTGAAACAGTGTTTATTTTTACTTATTCATTTTTATTCATAGTATGATAAGCAAGTGTAAACCTACCACCCAACCTATGACTTCAAACATTGATGATGACTTCCATCTGCCCACGATGCTCCCTGACCCATCCCCAGTAACCACTGCTCTGAATCCTTTGCTGCTGGTGTTATCATGTATATGTATACCTGCAATATTCACTATTTAGTTTAATTGCTTCTGAACCTACAAAGGGTGTCATGTTGCATGTACTCTTCTTGGACTTACTTTGTAGACACAATATTATGTCGCAAAGATTCATTCATGTTTCTGCATAAAGTTGCAGTTTCCTATTGCAGAATATTTCATTTTATGATTTTGTCTATTATCTAGGTTTGTATTCATGGACATTTGAGTTGTTTCTGGATGTGGCTTATTATAAACACTCTTATTAGTGTCTCATTTTATTCACATGCAAGAGTTTCTCTTTAACATGACTTAAGAATTTAATTGCTAAGTCATAGGGTATGCAAAGTTCATATTTGCAAGAGCATCACAAATGGTTTTCCAAAGCAACTGCATTCATTTATATTTCTATTTGTGCCTATCAGATTCTGTCAATCTACAATCTCTCCAGCACTTGGTTTTCTCAGTTTTTTTTTCTTTTTTGTCATCTCACTATCTCAGTGTGATAGTGATTTGCATTTCCTTGGTTACTAATGAAGATGAAAATCTCTCTACATCTTCAGTGGCCTATAAACACCTTCTCTATAAAATGCCTGGTCACATCTACAGCCCATTTTTCTATTGGATGTTTGAACTTTTCGAAATGTATTAGAGAGTTTTACAGTGTTGTTGTTGTTTTTGTTGTATACATGGTAAATATCTTCTCCCAGTGAGTAGCTTGTCTTCGCTTTTTCAAAGGTGACTTTTGATGGCAATAAGTTCTTAATTGTAATATAACCATACGCACCAATCTTCTCTTTTCTATTGAGTGCCTTTTGGGTCTCATTGAAGAAAAGCTTTCCCACGTTAAGATTAACAGAATAGTCAAGTACAATTTCTACTGGAAGTTTTATGTTTTCTCTTGACATGTAAAGACTTAATCTACCAGGAGTTGATTTTTGTGTGCGGTGTGCAGTGTTGATTTGTACACGTTCCTCCTTCATGTATAGAATAGTCCTTCCCTCCCGCATTGATTGGCCACGCCACTTCTGTCATGCATCAAAATTCTGCACATGTGTGGGCCTCCTTTTGTGGCCTCTTCTGTTCCAATCCCCGAGTCAGAACTGTGTATTCGATCAGCAGAATCTATAGCCTCAAAAATAAGTCCTAGTGTCTGATGGAGCAAGACCCTCTTCTGAATCTTCTTCAGAAATGCCCTGGCTATTTTTGGCCCTTTGTTATTCTTTTTAAATGTTAGAATCAGTTTTTCAAGTTCAAAAAAAAAAATACTCCCGTTGGAATCTTGATTGGGATTGCATTGAATCCATAGATCAATTCAGGAAGAATGTACTTGTTTATGAATTCAAGTCTTCTTATCCATGAAAACAGTTCTCTTCATTCATCTAAGTCTTTTTTTTTTAAATGTTTTCAAGAATAATGGAGAATTCCTTCACACAGGTCTTGGTCACGTTTTGCTATTTTTATTCCTAAATCCTAGTTATTGTTGCTGCTGTAAATGCTATCTTTTTAATGGTGTATTTTTTTCATTGTTCATTGCTGATACGCAGAAGGAAAATATTTAGAAAAAACATATAAGGTTGTTTCTTTATAATTAAAAAAACCACAAATTGATGTCAGGTGTCATTTAGAATCTTGTGGCTTTGGTAGCTGGAGAATCTTAGATCTTATTCATAAGCCTGCTGAATCGTTCTCTTTCGGAGATTAAGATACCATGTGAAACATTTGTGATATTCTTGTTTTTAACTGTCATGGCTTGCTGACTCAGAGCTGTTGCATTTGATGCAAATGTAATGTCATTTCCATCAAGAATCAACTGGTCCTTTTGGGCTTCAGGTATTGAAGGAAAAAAAAAAAAAACCCACCCAGCCTCCTGCAACCTCTGCAGATGTATTTTTCGTCTGAGAAGTTTCAGGTTTCAACAGATGACTCAATCCTCACTCCCCTGAATTTTAACTAATGGGGAGTGAGTACACTCAGACTATCTCATCTGCATCTGGCAATGGAAGTCTGTGTGATCATGGGCAGGATGTGAGTACAGGTTCTTTGAACAGTGGCCAATTAAAAAAATTCTTTCATTTATTTTTAACTTTATTTTGGGGGGCGGCAGGTGGTGGAAGTAATTAGGCTTACTTATTTATTTTTAGAGGAAGAACTGGGGATTGAACCCAGGACCTTGATGCATGCTAAGCATGTGCTCTACCACTGAGCTATACCCTCTCCCCAGTCAATTTCTTTTCATTTGCCCATGAAGAGCTTCTTCTTTTACTTTGCATGTTGATGGGGTTGAAGCCATTCCCTGGTTTCCTCTAGGGTCCCCACTATAAATGTGCATCTCTTCTCGGTGACAGCCACCGCTCCTGGGGTGTTCGCTGTCTGGGTACCAAGAATTGTCTTCCTTCAGTAGATGCAGCTATGAATGAGTGAAATGCAATTATGTATTGAGTTGATCTTTTATATTCTTCCAACTTGCTAAGCTCTCCTGTTAGTTCTAATAGTTTGCATGTAGACATGGAAGTATCTTTGATTGACTTTTTTTTCAATTTAAAAGTGACCACAGGTTGGTTTTGGGTGTCAGAATCTTTGGGGAATTCAAATTCGATGATCATATCATCTGCAAAATAATGACAGCTTATTTCTTCCCTTCGATTCTAAGCATTTCTTTCCCCTTTCTTGTCTTAATACCCTGGATAAGACTCCAAAGTCGAGCAGAAAGGGATTTTAAAACATCTTTCCATCCTTAAATTCTAACTAAATTAGGTTTTGGTCAGAGTACATGTTTTTATGATAACCTGTTTTTAAAATTTGTTGAGACGTGCTCTCTGGCCTGGTGTGCGATAGCCTTTTGTAAATATTTCCTGTGTGCTTATGAAGAATGTATATCTTCTATTTCTTAAATTCCATATAAGATCAAGAGGCCAGTGTGTTAGTTGTATGGATGAAATTCAGATCTTTACTGATAGGTCTTCCTGACCTATCCATATCTGAAATCTTACATTCTGCTGGTTTGTCAGTTTTCCCCTGGAGTCCTATTCATATGTTTCCTGTGGTTGATGTACTTTTAAATTTAAACTGTATGTTTTGGAAGTATTTTGTCTTCCCAGGGAAATGAACATTTTTACCACATTTAGTCACACAGTGTGATTGTCTCTCTCCCTACTGATCCTTTTTGGTTAGACCTTTTTTGTCTCTGAGTCGGAGACA